GAATTGCTCATGTCAATCACTGGTCTTAGTGGCACATTTAGCTTGTGAATTTTCGGCAATCCATAGAGTCTTGGTGATTGAAATCCACATGGAATGAGTTTGTCAAATGTAGCCTTGGAGATGTAATTTCCCGCCTTAAGTTGCTTCAATATCTCCTTTAGTTTTGTTTCTGATTCCTGCGTTTTATCCTTTTCTTTGGCATCGTGACTGAAGTATAGTCCTCAATTTATCGTCATATTCAGATCGGTCCAACACCACCCATCCTGCACCTTTATCTGGTCTTGAAAGAATGACATTCCGATTTTTGGTCAATTCTTTAATTGCGTTTCTATGCTGCCTCGATAATATCCCTTTTTTGGAGTTTCGTTTCTTGATGCTGCTGGCAATAGTAAACCAATAACGATTTTAGGTTTTCTACACTAGTCTCTGATACAGGTGTAAGGTCATGAAATCAAAACCAACGGATGCAAAAGTGCAATTGGCTAGAAAGAAGGAGGTATTTGTCAACGTTCCCTTCAAGGGAGACAAGGCATTAGAAATCTTGGAATATCGGTTATCCAAAGCTATTGCAAACTGTTTTCCCGCGGCGTATTTAAGACTCATCCAGGAGTAAGCCATTCATTGTTCAACAACTTAAGGATAAATTGCCTCATCAGTCCCAATCTTTCGTTCTATATCAGTTCATGTGCACTTGTAGTGCTCGCTACATCGGACACACAACGAGGCGTTTACTCAAGAGAATATCTGAACACTGTCCGACCGCTCTTCGAAAAGGAACAGTGAGAAGCTTGAACAGCTCAATCCTGCAACATTTGGTCGATAGTGGACACAGGATTGACCCAGAAATATCATTTACAAGTTTCTTCATTGCACCTAAGAATCACGTCAAATGATTACGTAGGAAGATCCTGACAACTGCGGAAGCCATAGCAATTAGGATCATGATGCCGGAGTTGTGCAAGCAACGTAATCTGGTTCAGGCGTTGATGTTACCATGGCCATAAGAACACTTAACCATATCTCTCTCTATGTGACACCCCTTCTATTCTCTCCCTCCCCCCTTCCCCCCACACGCCCCATTTACTGTCTTTTTCGCAAACGTTCACACCTGTTTTATTCATTCTGGAAATCTTGGTGTTGACTAACAATGAGCACCAGACGGTTGCTTCGTCTTGTTTGGTAGCAGTCCCCAATACTTACTTATTGTGTCCCCTTTAGGATTCAAATCGCGAATCCTTTAAGAAAACAGGATAAAGATAGACAGTCGGTGTTGAAACTGCGGTTTTCACAGCATTGCATGAATCTGATGGGACGAGCAATGCTGAGGTTAAGCGCCGAGTTTTAGGTAATCGCGTTCGCTCACTGGAGCAAGTGGCCGACCTCCGTAGATTACTTTCGGTGGATCATGTGTTACACATGGCACCAACTAGGTTGCCACAGTGAGCCATGTTTGTTGAGGCAGGAACTAGTTGGAAAAAAGGAGAGTGTGGTCAAAATAAAATCTGAAATTAGTCTATGAAAGCCCGAACCAGAATACTGGGCCAAATAGGTACCGTCGAGCTCCCTGGCTGGGGACTTCGGGATGATCGTAACCGATGGTTAGAGACACAGTGAAATGGCTAAGTGTCGCAAACAGTGCTGCTGGTGCATCTACTCATTCTTGCAACCCCAGTCTTTTAAATTTTGTATCCTCTTTTTGACACTTCTGGACATTCCAAACTTCATTCTGCTCTTCTATCTAAACAAACAGCGAAAATACAGCAACCAAAACCGATGGATAAAGATGCATGG